AACCGAAAAGTGACCGGTGGAAGTGTGGAAGTTTGGGCGGGAGCTGGAGGAAAAGTTGGGAGGGACCACGAACGTGGAGCATGAACGCGCGAAGCAACAACTGACGACGGAAGCGAGGTTAGTATCCAGTGACTATATTGTTCGCCTGTGTCTTTTGTCCCTCTCCTTTATGCGCCGGTTGATTTTCCTCTTCCCGTTGGATGGCAATGTCGTCGATGTGGGGATGGTTTTGAGGTGGAGAGGGTGGCGAAGCATGGAGACGGCGTGGGTATATAGAAAGTGTGGGGGGAAGGACGGTGATCAGAGGGTGAATGCACGGGGAAGGAAAAACACTGAGGGAGAGGGTTTTGATGGCGTCACAAGTGGGTTAGAGTGATTAGTGTCAGATAAATGGACAATGTTGGAGGAGATTCGAATAATGGAGTGGATTGATTCTGAGAAACGAAGCATTAGTGTGGACAGGAAAGAAATGATTGTTTTGTTGCAAATTATAAGCATGAATGTGTCAAACCCTAAGTTGGTCGTGTAAGTTGATGATGATGGTATTAAGTCATATAATCATTCGACTTCTGTTATGTTTCAGTGCAGGTAATGAAGATAAATGAATTTCGCAGCTGGGTCATCTTGTGGGAAGGAGCTGTTCTGTTATTTTCATGTGGGGGGGAAATTTGTGACAAATGGTGAAGGTGAAGTGAGATATAATGGAGGTGGCGTGAGGTTAAGAAGCATTAAGGATGGGCTGACACTTGATGAATTGAGGCTAATGATATCTGAGTGGATTGGTGGCGATGGAAGAAATTATGACATTAAGTACACAGTGGCCTTTGATGAGAAGACATTGATTGACCTTCATGACAATGCTGAAATGTATAACCTCTTTCAATACAATGGGAACAGCGGTCATGTGTATGTCGCCGAAAAAAGACAAGTGGGTCCCCAACCAAGGGACAATGTAGAAATGTAAGTGGAGTTTGTCCTAACTATTTGTTGTCATTTATGAATTTCTTCTTGTCATTTGTGTTAACGAGTCTTGTCATTATGAATGCAGAACAGAGAGATTCATGGGCATGTCACAGCAAACTGAACTGGATGCGTCTCCCATTAGTTTGTGTTGTGATTATGGCTGGCTCAGTGAAGAAAATGCTCGTGAATGTGACAATGATGAAATAAGTGGGCCCCCTAATGTGGATAAATCTATCGGAGCTGAAGATACGGATGGTAGTGAGATGGTTCATGCGGAATGGAGGGGACTTTTAACAGGAGTGGGCCAACGTTTTCCTAGTGCAGATGTATTTCGGGTGTCTGTATACAAGTTTGCACTTGCAAACAAGTTTGTGGCCAAGTATATGAGGAATAGCAGGAATTCATGTCGATAAGGTGTAAAGTTGAGGGGTTGTCCATGGAAGCTATGTGCAAATCATGTGGGGAAGAGTTGTGATGTGCTACGAGTGACGACATTTATAAACCGGCATGTTCATTCTGCCCAAGATAGCTTGGACGTGATGCATAGTGGAAGAGCTAGTTTGAACTCATCAATAATAATTGATGAGATGAGGGATCATGCAGACAAGCGCACTTCTGAGATAAGGAAGAGGTTGAAACGAGAGTATGGGATTGATCTAACATATAAACAGGCTTATAGAGCAAGAGAGAAGTCACTGGAAGACATATATGGCAGGCCCGAACAATCATACATGCTCATACCATGGCTATGCGAAAGGATAAAGGAAACAGATGAAAAATCAGTGGCTGAATGGACTGCTATTGGGAACCGGTTTGAGCGTGTTTTCATTGCTTACGGGGCATGCATTGAGGGTTTCCTGGGTGGCGCGAGGCATATTATGTATGTTGATGGAACTCACTTAAGCGGACCATACAAGGGGACAATGTTGTCAGCTTCAGCTTATGATGCAGATAACGAGCTGCTGCCATTTGCAATTGCAATTGTGAAGGGAGAAACACTAGATGACTGGACGTGGTTTTTCTATATGATAAAAAAACCTGGGTTCTGTGGAAGTAACGATTGTATCAGATCGACACAATGCTATCATCGGAGGAGTGGCATCAATCTTTGGGGGTCAAAGGCATGCCTTTTGTTATAGACACATCAAGGAGAATTTTAGTTCAGAAGTTATGAAAATGAATAAGGGGCAAACAAGGACAAATGGCCGATCAAAGGAGGATGCACTATATTTATTGGATAAAATTGCATACGCAAGGACGGATGAGAAATTTGAGGCAGCAATGGATGACATGAGATCCTTTTCTCCAAGGCTATTTGATTGGCTTATTCATCATGGGGATGTAGATAGGTGGGCTAAAAGTAGGTTCCCATATAAAAGATGGGACAATATTACAACCAATATAGCAGAATCATTCAATGCATGGATGGTGAATGAGAGAAAGCATACTGTACCCCAATTGATCTATGAGCACCGAGATAAAGTTGCAAGAAAGCTGCATGCCTCCTATGTGGGTATGACCAAATGGAAGAATTGCGTTGGTCCAAATATAGAGAGTAAGGTGCTGGATATGGTGGCTGGGTCTGACCATATGTATGCTGAAAATTATGGTGGGGGAAGAGTGAAGGTGACAACATCACGTGGAGACCATCGGGTTGATCTTGGACTACACCAATGCAGTTGCAGATCTTGGCAAATGACGGGGATCCCTTGTTCCCATGCTTGTGCTGCCATCAAGATTGTGCACGGCAATGTTTATGATTATATTGATAATTGCTATAAAAAGTCATCACAAGAAAAGATCTATGCTCGCAGTATGATTCCTGTGGTAACAACAGACATGCCTCACCCAAATGACTACTATAGAATAGAAAATGTCAGTGAGCAAGTTTTCTTGCTACCTCCCATGACATCCCGACCACCAGGAAGGCCAAAAGTAAACAGGGATGAATCACAGTTCCAGAACAAACGGATATACCACTGTGGAAGATGCCACCAGCCTGGACACACAAGGAGGAATTGCAGAAATCCTAACCCATCATGAAGTTTCGAGTACAGTGGGGATGGGTCATTTTTTGGTGTACATAGTTGTATGCTCCGCCCTTGTCAACTTTTTTGGGACTGGGGTTGTAGTTAGGAGCTAGGTGGAGACATTTTTTGTAAGTAAGCTGATAGTTATTTCAGTGATAACGGAGCATTAAGTGTGGCTAGTATCTTAATGTCCACTTGTTGAATACATGAAAGGAAGTTACTGTTATGGGGATGTTAGCTTTTGTTAATGGCGCATTACTTGTTGTCATTTTTAAATTTGTTCTGGTCAGCCGTGCTGAACTGATGTTGTAAAATCAGACCAGGTGATCCTTGTCATTATCGCTGTCATATTCGCTTCACTTCGTGTCATTTTTAAATTTGTTCTGGTCATTGGCAGTGATGCTATCAGCATAAGCTGACAGCCGTGCTGAACTGATGTTGTAAAATCAGACCAGGTGATCCTTGTCATTATCGCTGTCATATTCGCTTCACTTCGTGTCATTTTTAAATTTGTTCTGGTCATTGGCAGTGATGCTATCAGCATAAGCTGACAGCCGTGCTGAACTGATGTTGTAAAATCAGACCAGGTGATCCTTGTCATTATCGCTGTCATATTCGCTTCACTTCGTATCATTTTTAAATTTGTTCTGGTCATTTTCTGTTGGATACCAACAGGATATATTGAAGTAAAATTTAGTGACCTGAACAAAAAATGAAAACCAATAGCACATGTCCAATGGGGTTGTTGTCAGCATCTGTTTTTGTGTGGTTAAAACCAGATTCATTCATGTCACTGGGGAATAAATTGGCATCATGGTTCTCAACTATCATACATTTATGGACACCAATCTTTGTTAACCATAACAATACACAGTAAATTTTTGGTCAGCCTACAATGCACATTACATACAGCAATCTAACAGAGGACAAGTGAATTATGACCCTAACATCGAGACACCTAAGACCGACGCCTTTTCTTGGACTTTGTGCTCTTGGTTGGTTGTGGTCGTCGAATAAGGGCCAATGCCTCGTCACGTTTTTCATTCTGTTCATGATTGACCAACCACCATGTCAGGTCACGACGAAAGCCAGCAACTTCTTCCTCTGTGTAGGTAAGGGTCACACCAGGTTCCCATCTTCTCAGCCACATCATGCAGTGCACCCCACAATCCCTCCTGTGGACGCAACAATATCAGCACAGTTAGTTAACACATCTGACATGTGCATTTACCCCACAGAAATCGAATTTGACAAAACTGACAGGTTATTCTGCTGGGGAACTGCTGCAAATATCATGGGAGACATTGGCTTTTTCCCAACCAATCCTGGCTTGACCAAGTCCAGTATAATATTGAGCCTCTTCCTCTGCAACAACATTCAGGACCAACATAGAAAGTTTAATGATTTTCCAAGTTCAAAAACTAGGGTAAAGATAATGAGTTTTTTCTTACACAATCATCCACAGCCATTTCCACTGGGTCTTTGATGACAACCTTCTTCTTCTGCTTTCTGTCCTTGGTTCCGAAATGGTTCCTCATGGAGTCTATTACGTGGAAATCCAATGTGCTAGGCTGAATGGCAACGCAAAACCAGTGTTGGCCAACAAGAGCAGGACCAATTATGAAATCACATTCAGCTAAGTTGTAGCCAACGAACTCAGGAAGAAAGAGCTTCTTATATTTTTGGGCTTTCCAGGTTGGATCATGTGCCATCATGTTCTGCATGACATGAAATTGTTAATCCATTAACAGAGAACAAGTCATTTCCAATTCAATTGCTGTCATTGGTATTTGCATTTGGAATTATGCAACCTCACCATGAAATCAACATCGAAAATGTGCCTCTTCCCTGGCCCCAACTCTGCCTTCATGTCCTCCATCACTGCCTTGCACACCAAATTAAGCACCTACAGAACACAAGTGAAAACGTCATTCTGGTACAATAATCTCACCAAACATTATCAAACATAATCGTGGGTGCAGGGACAGAGCATTCTTAAATACCCTGTTATTTACTCTGTTCACTCCACCCAGGGAAAACAGCTGTTGTCGGTCTATATCTTCATCAAACATTTTGATGACAGTCCTGCAAACATTGTCAGATGTCAGTGACAGAAAGTATGGTGTTGGGGACATCAATACTTGTCATTCCCATGTATGTTATTGTCATTTTCAATCCTATTGCTGTCATTTTCAGGGCACACTGTGTCATTTAAAAACAAAACACTAGCTACGGATATACTTACATATTCCCCTCTTCCTCTCCCTTGGGTCTACGGGATATTAAAGTGAAAAAGATGTCACTTTCCTCCTTTGGCCTCTTCGTCCTCGGAGCTGCCTTGAATTCTATCCACGGAGATTTAATTGTGGAACTCTTTGCCCTTGTTGACCTCCGAAGGTCAATCGATTTTTCAGGCCTCCTCCTTCCCCACTGTCACTGCTCACCCATTCTCGATCCAACAGCAAAGGAACATTGGTAGGGGTCATTGTCAGTACATGTGTAGCTTCCTCCCCCTCATCATCTGAATCCCGAACCTCCTTATCATCATCTTCGGCCTCCTCAACCACATAATCATGACTGACTTCCATGTCATCATGGTCATCTTCCTCCTCATCAACCACATGACCTCCTTCCCTGTCATCATGGTCATCTTCCTCCTCATCCTCGTCGTCGTCGTCATCACCTCCATGACCATCACGGTCACCCTCTTCTTCCACCTCCTCAACCATGTAATCATCACTGACTTCCCTGTCATGAAGGTCATGTTGTTCCTCATCCTCATCCTTCTCATCATCTCCTTTGCTGGTTTCATCCTCATCAAGTTCCTCATCTGCACTTCCCGCTGCAACCTCTCTTGCAATCTCCTCCACCACTCGGTCAACATCATCAGCTTCTTCAGCATCGTTACCAGCTGCATCACCAACTGTTTCAACCCCTTCTTTAGCAGTGGCATTCTCATTCCCCATCCCCTTAACTTTGGCGTTCAATCCAATCTGCAATTTGAGTAGCTCATCATCAAGAGCCTTCATTAACGTCCTCTGGCTTTCTTCAAGCTTCTTCACAAAACGAGCCCTCAACTCCTTCAATGCCTGCATACACAGTAAATGAAGATATCAAAAAAATTGTTCACTGTTATCAAATGCCAGTATCTCACTGGTCATTTCTAAATAAAGTCTTGTCATCTCAAGTATCAACCTTGCTAATAGACTGACTTAAACTCAGGTCACGTATATTTTCTAAGTTCCCACATACCGGATCTAAAGACTGCAAAATTGAACTGTCCTCATGTCCTGCTGAGTATACCTCGCTGCCACTGCTTCCATGCAATATTCCCATGCTGCTGCCTCTCTCTTTCTCCACCCTCTCCTTTATCTTCTCCTCGGTCCAATATTCAATGGCGCTTGTTGAACCCCGGTCAACAGACAATCCCAGCGGGAAACGCTCAACAAAATACAGCTGCAAAACCAAATAAAGATAGGTCACACTTCTGCAACAATAACAAAAGACAAAAATATAGTGAACCATAAGAAAAATATTGACTTACCAGCAGCAAATAAAGACACCCTCCAACATTGCAGGTTCCTTTCTTCTTCTTCTTTGTCATCTTCACAAAGTCTCCCATTTCCTTCCACAGGTTCTTGATTATGTACGTTGACCAATCATATTTCCAAAACCCATTCATCGTGTGACGCATCACTTTCAACAAACGTATATGTACAGTTGTGCTTGACCCAGGACATAGAAAAGCTCCAACTGTATAAAGCATAAATAGGAACTCAAAATTGTCGCTTTCTTCCCCAGATAATATCCTCTTCAGTATCTGGGTAAATGGAACCTTCCAATAAGTGTCCTTCAACCTCTTGTATTCCGGGTCATCCTCACTAACATCAGATTTCACTTCCTCCCCACTGTCAGGTACACCTAGAAACTCATGCGCATCTTTTGCCTCAATTGCCTGCCCTTGCCCTCTAATGGTCAAAAAATGCGTTGGTGGGTCATAGCATCTCAACAATGACACAAGTAGATCACGTGGAAGTTGCTTCACATTCACATTAAGCAAGTTCCCAAATCCCATCCTCTGAACTTTCTGCCTCAACCGCCTGTTCTTCTTCACATATTCAGCCAATGATAGAAATCCGGGCAATGAGCACCGGGTGTACAAGGGAACATCATACTTCTTCTTCTCACCTTTCTGTGGCTTCGTTTTCCTTGCCCTCTCATTATACCTATCTTTCTCTTCTTCACTCAGGGCCCTCCATGCCTTCCCCACTTCAATTTTTTCTTCTCTTGCGTTTTTACACTTCTCACCTCGTTTAGCCATATACTCCCTTCTGAACAACACAAGCCCACTGTGGACTCCTTTGCTTGTGGACCCTTCCCCTTCTTCCAACACCATCTCGTATAGTTCTGCAAAGTCATCAAGGTACCATCATTAAATCATAATTTTAATACATTTACTACACATCTAGTTCTTTCCAGATTCGTTATGGTCATTTCCAATTAATTCATTGTCATTTACAATATGGCCATTACAGAGTGACAGTAAGGATGCTGGTATGAATATGGTCGTTTCCAGTTAATTTATTGTCATTACCAATATGCCCATTATAGACTAACAGTTAGGTCAGTACTATGAATATGGTCATTTCCAATTAATTCATTGTCATTTACAATATGGCCATTACAGAGTGACAGTAAGGATGCCGGTATGAATATGGTCGTTTCCAGTTAACTTATTGTCATTACCAATATGCCCATTACAGACTAACAGTTAGGTCATTAATATGAATATGGTCATTCCCACTTAATTCATTGTCATTACCAACATGGCCATTACAGTCTGACAGTAAGGTCATTACTATGAATATGGTCATTTCAAGTTCCTTCATAGTCATTTACCAGTTTGGTATTGTCATTTCCAGTTTATTCATATAATCTTTCCACTCATTCAGACAGTAAGGTCATTACTATGAATATGGTCATTTTAGGTTCGATCATAGTCATTTACCAGTATGTTATTGTCATTTCCAGTTGTTCATATAATTTTTCCAGTCAATCAGACAATTTTCCTACTGATTTCAAAACCCATTTTTCCAGTTCTCAACTACGTTATT